TTTGATGACAAATAGACATCAACCTTAAGAATTCTTTCTCAGATTACTAAGCAAGTAGGACACAGATGAAGAATATTAGACACCTTTTACAAATTCCTAAATACACTTCAAAAATTAATTTCATGGAGGAACGGAGCATCCAAACAAAACACATTTCTTTTGTTACAAGTTTGATAAACTAACATGCAACTGAGCACTGCTGGATATTCAGACCACAGACACAAGTCAGAACTCGTTTAATGCTCTGTGTATGGTCTCCTTGTGATTACTTTTCTTCTTCTGCATAAGGAGACTAAGCATGGCCAAAGCAATAAAGCATAACCTGCAGTAAGGTAGCTGGCCTGCATGATCACAGAAGTTCTGCTCATGTATTGCTTTAAGACATTCGAGCTTCCTACTTCAGAGACAAAAAAATTAAATCCATGTGGTGTGGCTGATTAGAACAGAGGGTCACAATTTCCACTGTTTAACATTTATACAATTCAGAAAGTTCTGCCTGCTTTGTTGCAAGTCAGTATTTTGCTTACTATCAAATTGCTTTCCAGAGATAGATCTACAAAACATAAATTTAGCATTTCAGCTTAAGTGGTAGTGATAGACATAAGAAATTGTTACTGAAAATATTTGTCTTGAGCCTTGACTGAATAGTGATACAGAGGAAAACTGATGAAAACAGTTTTAAAGACATTTTATTTTTTTGAATCTCCTGAATGCAACTAAAATGGCCACAGTTTCCAAAAGTAGAGGGAATGATAAATTCACTGCCATAAATAGAAATATTTTGGGTTTTGACTGTACTCCATTTAAACAAGTCCTAACTTTTTCCTTAAAGTCAGGGTTAAGCTAAAAGTACCTTCTCAAATTTACCCTGCAGTTAGTGTTCTTCTACTCTTAAAAAAAAAAAACTCTGAACGTGACAATGATTTGAAAATTGAATTCTGAACTCCCAGTAAGGATGCTTACTATAAACAATAAGCAGAATACCGGAAAAATATCTGTGATATCCTGTGATGCAGTACTGCAGCTACAACCTCACAACTCTCACATGGCACAAAATGAACATGCTTCTACATACACGAAATGTCAAGGAGCAGAGGCACCGCCAACTCTCTGCCTCCCCTACAACCTGATTGCAAACAGGTCAGCTGGTGATGACTGGTCGGGCAGCAGTTTTCAAAACCCAGTTCTTTGTCTTTGCAAGACAGAGAGCCTGAAGAACCACTATAAAACCGGAATCCTTTTTTCCAAGTGGAAATAAAATGCATTTAGAAGGCATGAGTATGCTTCTGAAAGAGAGAATGCAGGCTTGGGAGAAAAAGAGGAAGGTGTATCACAGGATAAAAAGTCATACCAGTTAATAACTGCAAAACCGCAGTTATTCAGCATCAGCCGACTGTCAGTGCCTACCAAATATTCAGGTGGTGAGATTGGAAAGAGCAGGTACTGTACTGTTTCCTGCATTTTGCAGTAACAGCCTGGGACAACTGCGGCCCAGCAGCAGCCATCAGCTGCTCATCAACTGCTGATACCAGCTGCTCCTTGGTAACTACAATTTGAAGTAACCCATAAGCACACACCAAAATTAGCTGCTGCAAAATCAGTTATCGTTCAGCAGCTAATAAGCACAGACTAATGTATGCAGAATCTTAACAGCCTGATCAACAATGCAAGAGCAGCAACTGCACCAACAGGTCATCAGTAGATCATACAGCACCTACTCCACTGCAACAGAATAGGGATTTACACAGAGGTCACAAGGCTGTGACAATTTCACATTTTCTTGCATACTTTGTGTAGGAGAACTGAAGGAGTAAGAACAAGTTCATTAGGTCCCAGCCTGAGTAAAAAGCTGATTTCCCACAATGCTCCTTGCATTCAGTATTTTGAAGCTATCAAGCACAAACCTTTGGAATGTAAGAATTAACAAAGACTGCTATTTGATCACTTGCTTATCCCACAGAAATTCAGGTTGTCACCAAATAACGCAAATTCTCTTCTCTGTTCCTCAAGCTGGCACTACCACTTGTGTGGCCAGCCTTCTTACAGAGCTCATCAGCCTGAAGGGTTTCTGACAATGAGTTGGTTTTCACTGGGACCAGTCCCCACTCGCTAGTGTTCAGAGTGAGCACAAGCAATAACGCCGATACAAGAAGGAAGCAAGGACAGGTACCTGAGTGGAGGATGGGGACCGCCTGCACCACATCAGCTTAAAGCAGTAATGGCAACTACACCCTTAGTCATGTTCATATTTAACACACTGACGAAAGTCATAGCTACACTGCCAGTAACAAAGTAAAGTTCTGCAAACAACAAAATATTTAGTTGAATTACAGACTGTCATACTGAATGTTGACAAGGTACCCATTTAGGCCTTTAGCTAGGCTTTTGTCTTCATCTGAAGAGGAATGCAGCTCTCAACACATGAGGAAACTGCTTCTTCCAAATTTTAAATTCATCTTGATTTTTATTTATTATACTGAAGAAGTATTTTATTATACTTAGCTGAAGAAGCCACAACTCAACTGTTTATTGGGAAGGAACATTCCAACACAGTATTTGAACTTTTGCTTAGAAAAGAAATTACTTTAGAAATTTTTAAAGAGAACTTGAGATTCAGACTGTTCATAAAAATCAGTTCCATGCTGTACTGGGCTTGTGCAGCAAGGTTTTGGTACCGAGGAGGCTACAGGGGTGGCTCCTGTGAGAAGCTGCCAGAAGCTTTCCCCATGTCCAATAGAGCCAATGCCAGCTGGTTCCATGGCTGGACGGCTGCTGGCCAAAGCCGAGCCCATCAGCAACAGTAGTAGCACCTCTGTGATAACATATTTAAGGAGGAAAAAGACCCCACCGGGACACAAACTGCAGCTGGAGTGAAGAGTCAAAATATGTGAGAGGAATGACTCTGCAGACACCAAGGCCAGTGCAGAAGGAGGAGGGCAGGAGGTGCTCCAGGCACCGGAGCAGAGATTCCCCTGCAGCCCCTGGTGCAGCCCATGCTGGGGCAGCTGTGCCCCTGCACCCATGGAGGCCCACGGGGGAGCAGATCTCCACCTGCAGCCCGGGGAGGGCCCCACGCCGGAGCAGGGGGATGTGCCCGAAGGAGGCTGTGACCCTGTGGGAAGCCCGCAACGGAGCAGGCTCCTGGCAGGACCTGTGGCCCCGTGGGGAGAGAGGAGCCCACGCTGGAGCAGGTTTGCTGGCAGCACCTGTGACCCCGTGGGGGACCCACGCTGGAGCAGTCTGCTCCTGAGGGACTGCACCCCGTGGGAGGGACCCACGCTGGAGCAGGGGAAGAGTGTGAGGAGTCCTCCCCTGAGGAGGAAGGAGCAGCAGAGACACATGTGATGAACTGACCACAACCCCCATTCCCCATCCCCCTGCGCTGCTCGGGGAGAGGAGGTAGAGAAAATCGGGAGTGAGGTTGAGCCCGGGAAGAAGGGAGGGGTGGGGGGAAGGTGTTTTAAGACTTGGTCTTCTTTCTCATTACCCTACTCAGTTTTGATTGGTAATAAATTAAATTGATTTTCCCCAAGTCCCGTCTGTTTTGCCCGTGATGGTAATTGCCGAGTGATCTCCCTGTCCTTATCTCAACCCACGAGCTTTTTTGTTATATTTTCTCTCCCCTGTCCAGTTGAAAAGGGGAGTGATAGAGCGGCTTTGGTGGGCACTTGGCATCCAGCCAAGGTCAACCCACCATACGTGCATACCTGAATCTTTTTGTTTCCCCTCACCCAACCATAACTTTACCGTTTGCCATCTTTGACAAACATATCAAAACCAAAAGAACTGTTCCCATGTTACAGGGAATGCTCTCATTTTCACAACTTGTATTGGTGAAGCTATAAAATTAAAACAAAACCCGCAAACAATCCAAGCAAGCTGCGGATAAAGAAGTTTTCATCTTGTTTCACCTCTAATCCCTTTACAAATTTAAAAAAAAAAAAAAGTAAAAAAAATCAAGTTCTGCAATGGCAATAATTTCAGTTATTAAATAGTAATTGGATTATTTATTTAATATCACCTGTCATTGTAACTGCCTAATGTTACAAATTGACTTCTAGTCAATGTAATAAAGCAGCTCAGAGTAGACAAAATTCTTATTTTGAGAAGATATACAAAAATTACAACTATTACATTAAAATCTCTGTTATAAGTATATACAAAATAATTTTCAACGCATTTGGTTCATACAGTGCTGCTGTAAGTCATGAAATCAACTACTTGATCCAAGAGAGTCAGTGCTAGAAATGGATGCCTGGGCAACCATCTCCAATTTGTCTGCTTGGGGACACAGAGAGAACAACAGAGAGTTTGTCTGTTCATTACACTCATTACAAAGTTGGAGCCATAAGGTAAAAGGAAAGGAAGCTATTAACCCAAAAAGACTTCAATGATGCTAAGTTCCCTGCATTGTCCCATTAAACTACTTCTATTGTTCAGTAACAGAACCACATTCAGAACATAAAGGGCAGCATTCACATTATTTTGTCTGTTTTCTCCAAACACTCCTGAAGCAGCAGATGATTTTCTTGGGACTTAGATGTCCATTTAGTCACTCACCAATCCCAATTTCAAAAAGCCAGAAGCAATTACTTCCTGTTACAACTCAGGTAAGAATTTAAATTGGTGACCTGAAGAGAAGCAACCTGCAGTTTGTGAACCCTTTGTCACATAGTTCATTACATACTGCTGCCAACACATATTTAAATATAACCACATTTTGTAATCAAGAATAACTAAACTAACTCCATTCCTAACTACAGTACAAAATCAAAATACTCTGAAATATTTGTTGGCTCTGGAAAGGTGCCCAAAAGCATCGCCTGTATTAATACTTCAGACTCTGTATCTTGGTTTGTCATCCAGCAAATTTGACTCAAAAAAGAGACAACATCACATGGCTGCAACCATTTCAACATTCAACTATGCACTACAAGTGCTGTATGTTCCCCTCTCAGCCAGTCACTCAGTTGTGAAAGAATTGCTCAGAACTTCTGAGGTTAAAACAGAGCCAGTTCCTTCCCATCATACAACTCTTGCAGTTGCTTTGACTCGAATTTTATAGAGGGGTTTTCAATTTGCATCCCAGGCTCCAGAGCATTCTGTCCAACTATTTTAAGATTCAGATTTTTTATTTTCCAGGTATTCTCCCTAACAGGACAGCTAATGAGTCCAAAAATTTGTTCAAAGATGCCCAAACAAGTCTTGTCTCTATGTACCGTGCCAGCCACTGCTACCAGTACTAACCCATGTGGAGACATGGCACATTTCAGCCCATTGGCACGCAAATTAGGGTTGAATAGAATATATTCTTCTGTAACCAAGGAGAGCAGACGAAGGCTCACCATTTCTGCACCAACATATTCTTCCATGTTTTTTTCTAATGTGTTGTAACGCAACTTCATTCTGGCATCCTCCCAAAAATGCTGTGGTCCCCATCCTTCTTCAGCTTTTACTCCCAAGGGATGTTGAGAGTTCAGGAGATCAAAGAACCACTGACAGAATTCTTGTCCTAGACGATGAATGTAATCTTGTCGTGACTTTTGTGTCTGTCCATGACTCTGCAATCAAGCACATTTTATTCTTTTTAGCCTTATTCTTCTATTTAGCCTTAACATGTGACATTACCACTTAGAACAACATAAAATCATGTAAATACTTATTTTAAACATTGTAAGTCTTCTTCAAGTGTTCTGAGACAGAGTGCCCAAAGAAAAACAACAAAGTAAAATCTCATTTATTTTTAAGATCATGATTATCTTATCATCTAGAAAAGCAGGGTATGTTCTTTGAATTACAGTTAGAATAGTCCTTCAGTTTTGTCTTGGCCTACAATTTATAAACAAAGAGGAAAATCCTGGTTCTACTGAAAAAGGTCAGGGGAAGGATTTTTGAACAACTTCCACGAGACCAGGATTCTCACACAGAGAGACAAATTTTCTGCTGAGTAGAAAGTCCCTGGGTTAGTAACTTTTCACTGGCCTTCACATTTCCAAAAGAAGGTTACAGAAAAACAAGAAGGATACAGACCCAACCTGAAAAGCTGATCTCAAACTAAGACGCATCAATTTACTAAAAAGTGCTCATAAATAAGCAATTATGTTGACATGGTTTTCCTGTTTCATGTTGCCTTCAGTCTCTTCTTTTTGGTACCTTTTAATTTGGTGAATTGTCTTGGTGTCTGCATCTTATATATAGCTGATAAGAACAAATAGTACTTATTGGGAAGTCACCTTTTGAATATGCACAGAGAATCACAGATTTATTTAACCTGGCACTGCCAAGTCCACCACTAAACCATGTCCCTAAGCACCACATCCACATGTCTTTTAAATACCTCCAGGGATAGTGATGTCACTGCTTCCCTGGGCGGCCTGTTCCAGCGCTTGACAGCCCTTGCGGTGAAGGAATTTTTCATGGTATCCAGTTGAAACGTCTCCTGGTACAACTTGAGGATGCTTCCTCTCGTCCTGTCACTTGTTACCTGGGAGAAGAGACCAACACCCACCTCACTACAACCTCCTTTCAGGTAGTTGTAGAGAGCAATAAAGGCTCCCCTCAGCCTTCTCTTCTCCAGGCTAAACAACCCCTGGTCCGTCAGCCGCTCCTCATAAGACTTGTGCTCCAGACCCTTCACCAGCTTCGTTGCTCTTCTTCAGACGCGCTCGAGCACCTCAATGTCTTTCTTGTAGTGAGGGGCCCAAAGCTGAACACAGTATTCCAGGTGTGGCCTCACCAGTGCCAAGCACATGGGCATGATCACTTCCCTGCTCCTGCTGGCCACACTATTCCTGATACAAGCCAGGATGCTGTTGGCCTTCTTGGCCACCTGGGCACACTGCTAGCTGTCACCACATGTTCACATGTGGTGAACACACATGTTCAGTCAGCTGTCAACCAACATCCCCAGGTCCTTTTGCGCCAGGCAGCTTTCCAGTCACTCTTCCCCAAGCCTGTAGTGTTGCATGGGGTTGTTGTGACCCAAGTACAGGACCCGGCACTTGGCCTTGCTGAATCTCACACAGTTGGCCTGGGCCCATTGTTCCAGCCTGTCCAGATCCCTCTGTAAAGCCTTCTTTCCCTCAAGGAGATCAAGACTCCCGCTCAACTTGCTGTCATCTGCAAACTTATTGAGTGTGCACTCGATCCCCTCTTCCAGATCATTGATAAAGATATTAAACAGAACTGGGTCCAATACTGAGCCCTGAGGAACACTGCTTGTGACCGGCCACCAACTGGATTTAACTCCATTCACCAGCATTCTTTGGGCCCGGCCATCCAGCCAGTTTGTTACCCAGCAAAGAGTATGCCCGTCTAAGCCATGAGTAGCCAGTTTCTCCAGGAGAATGCTATGGGAAGCGGTGTCAAAGGCTTTACTAAAGTCTAGGTAGACAATATCCACAGCCTTTCCCTCATCCACCAAGCATGTCAGCTTGTCACAGAAGATCAGGTTAGTCAAGCAGGACTGGCCTTTCATAAACCCACGCTGACAGTGCCTGATCACCTGGTTGTCCTGTACGTGCCTTGTGATGGCACTCAAGATGATCTGCTCCATAACCTCCGCCGGCACCGAGGTCAGACTGACAGGCCTGTAGTTCCCTGGATCCTTCTTCTGGCCCTAAATAAATCCTAATATCCTAATATATCCTAATACATCCTAATACCTCAAGCTGACAGAATACTTCTGATTTATGGAGTTATTTTACCTATATCAGTGGAATACGCTAACAAAATACACAGCTAATCCACAAAGAACTGAAACTCAAAGAATTAATGTGTTCCAGAACTTTTTCTCCACCAGATCATGTGCCTGATTTTAGCCCTGTTTGGCAGTAAGACTGCCAAAAATCATCCAAAAGATGCTTGGTCACTTTCATGAGTGATGTTTGTAGTCTTCACCATATTTCTAATGGGAAAAGAGTCCAAATCAAAGAAAACCATAACTTATGTTACCTTTGCTCCTCCAAAATAGATAAAAGTCTTGAGGAATCTCAGTTACTTTTCTAATTGTACAACTGATCACTTAAAACAGACTGAGACAATATGACATTGGGATAGGAGGGCTGCAGGGATTTTCACATAGCAGCATAGGCTTACTCTCGGAATAAAGACAACCTGTCATTCCCTCTGTTCAGCCTGTCATAAAATCCTTCCTTCAGACTGTCATAAAATCCTTTGTTCAACACCAAAGCTGATGAGAAAGTATTTTTAAGTAGTAAGACAAAGTAAACATTGCTAGCAGACAGCCAAGCCTTCAAAGAATAATTTGAAAAGGCTCAGTCAAAGATTCTTGTCTTGTTTAGAAGCCTTAGAGAAGAATGGGTCAGTGAAAGAAAGCACAAAACTACTCAAAACACATCTTCCACTAGTTCCCCATAGGTTATGGACAAGCCACTTGTGCCCTTTTTGTCCTTGTTTTACAGAAAATGACACATGCACACTCCTAAAATACATCTAAGATGTAGGGGGATAAAAAAATACTTCAAAATATTACTTACGTTTAATGATGGGTTGCTGAGACTGACAACAGAGTGGTGGGTATAAAGTTTTGAAGCCAAATTCACACTAAGTAGCAAAAGCAAGTATCAGTGAGGAACCAATGGTCATATTATTAAAGCCATATCAGAAGAGGGTGACAAACCACTCCAAGTGTTGTATCACTAAATATGTACTGCAACAAAGCCAGCAGTAAGATTTTTTTAGACACTATTAGGGTCAAGCTAAGAAAAAAAATTTACTCCTTGCAGTTGAATTCTTGGTAAGCCTACAACTATGTGTAAAAGAATAGCAAAATTTAAGCACAAACATTTAGGAAACAAGCTGCTCAGCAATTAGATATTTAAGACAGGTTTTTAAGTCAATTAGAAAAACACATTCAGTTTAGAGGATACTTCTTTCCGAAGGAAGCATCACTGTAAAAGGCAACAATCAGATGCTCAAGTAACAGTCCTGTGAGCCTATTTAATCTGTACATATGTAGTTTGTTTATCCTCTGGTTTCTCTTACACTAGGTAAGATTTTTTACTTAAGAAAAATCATCCAAACTTTCCAACATAAAGATACATGACCTCCAACTGTAAGGTGATGTGTTTTTTAAACAAGAACTAAATGTACAGTTATTTAGTAGGGCTTCTCAGTATTTGCAACTTCACAGCAAGACTTTTAGAAGTAAATCAAATGTCAAGTTTGCTAACATCGAAATCTATTAAATTAAGTTTTAAGTAAGTATTAAGTAATTAAGCATGAAAAGTTTAGAGACTTCTATAGAGAAATGCTGTATTTGTTTCACAATAAACTAATTAATTGCTAATTCTGTTACATAGGTTCATGTTACCCACCTCTTCAAAATAGTGAGGGCCACAAGAATGAAGAGAAAACAAAGGCAAAGAAAGATGTATGTGATAAATAAACCAGTTGAAGTTCTCATTCTTTGTGAATGTGTTTTAAATACTTTGGAGAATTTAATTTACTTACCTTCAATCATAAAGCTTCACTATGGGGTCATACTTGGGAAATGCTCTTGCAAGAGCAACATTTTTTTTTTTCCAAAATATGCACACAAAAAATGGTTTTGAAAACAATTCTGGGCTAAATCGTTAATTCTCATTGGTTAATCCCTGAAAGAAGCTCAGTGCAATAGGTTATCAACAGCTACAGAGCTCTAACGGTCCAGCTGGTGGGGCTGTTGCCCATTAGCTCTCAGAAGTACAAAGCTTGAAAGAGCAAGGTGGCTATTTAGAACTCCATGGTAAACATCCAAGACTAACAAAACACTGAAAGTTCATTGCACCACGAGGATTTACTAGATGTCACAATTTTGAACTTCAAAATAACCTGTAATTGCCAAACCACATTTACTTACACTGTATTAAGTGTTACTAATATCAAGGGGAAAAAATGACACAGACCTGGCACCACTATAAACTTCACATTTCAGTTACATAAAAATTCGCTAAAATCCATTCTGCGCTCTAACTGCAAGAGGTGAAAAGGAAAACAGCCTACCAACAGTGCTACTTTGATTGCACTGCCTCTAGAAGTAGATCAAGGCCACTTACAAAAAGGCAGTTTTCTCTCCATTCCCTCCCTCCCCCACAACATTTTAGACCACAGTCAGACAGATGTTTTCGCCCTATAATCTACTATCGACAGCATCTCTTTGCTCTGCTCTGGGATGTGCCCTACCAATGATATTGGTAGTGCCTGGTGTGGCTGGAGGATGACTGGAAATCCTGGATCTACACCAAAAGTTTAAGAAGATCCACCACATTATAAAAGTGACAAGGGGCTATGCAGGGTTTCTCTACCATTAAGACTGTTTTCAGTTGTCCTTGAATCCACAAAATTATTTGTGAATAGCCTCTATTTTAGCTTACAGTACAACTTAAAAGCATGGAGAAGACCCCATACATTAGAGTTCAAATGCATTAACATACTTTGCAAGACAGAGCAGAAGACTGTGCTCTGCAAGTGATAAGTTGGCACAGACACGTTTAAATGACGTAATTTAAAAAAACAAAAAAAAAAAAACCACCAAAAAAAAACCCAAGAGTTAAAGAGATTCAGTACCTTCCAAAATACAGGTGAGGAGCCAGATTTTGGATGTACATTAGAATATTTACACTGGTTATCCTGCAAAAGCAATGCTAAGCTTCCTCATATCTTTCACAAAGCAGCACTCACCTCTGCATACGGTTTGCTATTCCCTGACTCCGAGGCATGTGTTGTGGGCTGCCCACTCCAGTACTGCTTTACACGATCAATGAGTAGACGTTTCTCAGAGGAAGGAGGCACTGGAATTCCTTGTGCTGCCAAATACTTAAAAATTATTTCTCGATAGACTTTTCTGCGTTTCAAAAGTTCTTCTACACTTTGGCTGTAAGCCAAAATGTTACGAATGGCTTCTGCAAGTAAAGAAATTTCAGTTAGCAGTTGTTTCTCTCATGATGAAAACCCAAACCTACGTCATTTCTTAAACTCCTGACCAGCACCTCCAAGCCTAGATGAAATGCAAAGACTTAGAAGTTTGTTTGCAACCTGAAATCTGACCTGATCATATTAGACACAGAAGATACCCAAAGGCTTGGGAACATGTTCAAAAAACGGTGCTGTTTTTACCGAAGACCTTGCTACCTTGTAATCCCTACTTCCAGTATCGATGACTGCTTGGAACTTATTATGTATTATTTGAGCTTGATGAAAAGGATGCAACTTCTTCTTCCAAATGAAATTACTAATATTCTCCAAGTATTTTCAAGCTGTTTAGAAACTCCAAGTGCTTCAAGAAGTATAAAGACTCTTGCACACAATACATTTCACCTATACTTCCTGAGATGCAACCAGCCTTAACTTCAAAGTAAGTTCATTTAACATGAAATCGTTTAGGGCTTCCTGCTCCGTGTCACCATACAGCACCTTCACTTAGCAAAAGCTGAGCTTGGTTTCATTCTCCATTTGAATAGCCCTGGGATATTTCAAAATAAGCGATCCACCTGTCTCCTTGGAAGCAAGATTACACAAAGAAGAACCAGACAAATCTTTTATGGTTCTTCTGAATATGGAACGTGATTCTTAATTTCTGCATCAAATGGGTAGTTCACATGATTTGGTCAGAGAACACATTGTTATTTTCAAGAATACACAAGTTTTCAAATGTTTCCCATGGACAGAAAATTAACAGAAATGCAGACAGAGAGATAACTAAGGTAATCTCTGATTCCTCATACACTGAACAAGAATTCTAATACCAGAAGTTTGCAGTTTTTCAGACAACACGCAGTAGTTTGTGAAAGTGAGGTTCCATCTAGGTTCCTGAAGCCTGATGGAAATGGAATTAAATCTGGTTTATTTCCATGCTAATAAAATTACTACTCCCGGGTTCATAAGAAAACACCATGCATCACAGCACAATGACAGCGCATTGAAATGTAATATTAAAAAAGAATCAACTACAAGGCTCTGTGGCAAAATTAGGAAACATTACAAACTGAGATTCGCTTTTAAAGTAGTTGCAGTGGCTAGTTCTCACCGGAACTGAGGCTGGGTACTTAACGCATTACCTATAAAAACTGTAAGTTTAAACAAGAAGAGACTAACAGCTGAAGTAAAAAAAAAAAACAAAAACCTCTTAATTTAACCTACAACTGCTGCAAAAAGTAGATTAAAAAAGCAAGAAGAAAAACTACAGGCATAAGACCTTTTTAAGAAATGCGTTTCGCAAATCTTACAGGTCTGAGTTATACCACATGAAGCATGTTCAAGGTTTTTGGAGGAGTATGTTTCAGGTCAATATGCTGAGTGGCCTCAAGTAGCTCACATACAAAATTTTTACGAAACAAATCTCAACATCTGCAAAGTGCTCTGTTCTACAAAGAAGTTCAGTATTTGATTTGTGTTTTACCCTTTCAACACCTGAAAGCAATGCCATTAACAACAAACAGCAAGAGCCACTTGGGTTTTAAATACATCTTTAAACGCTATCAGGGCATAGCAGGGGTACAGCAGTGCCCGAAACTCACCGAGGGGGAGGAAGGGAGGGGGGGAGGAAGGGAGGCGGTGGCGGTCTAAGAGAGAAAAAGAAGTGCTTGAGATCTGCAAATCTGCTAAAAGCCACCACTA